GTTTTTCTTATTTTTCTTTACGTTATACAGAAAACGACAAAAAATCGCAGAATCTCCAAAACCCTAAAAACGACAAAATCCGAAACCCCAAATACATGCTTTCTACGGTTTTTGTTGTTCCGCCATGCTCTCTTCTCTACACCCACTCCTCCCTTCTACCAACAGCCGTTGCGCTGTTAGGCCAGTCGTCTCCCCTTCTCTTCCAGAACGCCGGCCACGAATGGGATCGTCAGATGATCGCACCTCCTGGAGCCAACGTCCTTGGCAGATCGGGGAACGCGGGCGCGAGGAGTGGGGTGTGGGGGGAAGAGGTCACTTCTATTCCACTGTCCGACGCCCATCGGGTTTTGGCAGGCCGGGTCTTTTTTGCTTATTTGCCCTGGCCAGGTTTTTATGGACCAGGCAACCCGGCCCCACACACCCGGCAGAGGATAAACGATTGTCTCGGTGATAATGGGGCTACGAGCAAACCACTCTGTGTCCTGCAGTCTTCCTTGATGTTTTCTCTTCAGTGCACGTACGACACCCGTGGCATTTCTTCTTTCACCAACGACGGCATTACACTGTGTCAGCTGCCGAAGTAGCACCTTAACTGGAACGTTGTCCAAGTGACACCGACTGGGTCCGAAATCGACTCACAAAGGTTCCTCTATTTTCGAAGCACCCGTACGCAACCGATACGCTCCCGATACAAGAACCTGGATTCAGATTGGCATCAACCACAAGGCCTGTAACCTGATCTGACCTTACGGAGCTCCCACATCACGCTTTTGCGATTTCCGAACCTGTTCTTACACCGTCAGCCCTTGCATCGCATCCACACGCACCCACATCTGTGTTGACCATTTCCCCTGTCAAATGCCACAGACCGGTTTACCATTGGACCCTCGTATACTGTACAATCATTCGAGTTACCTACACACATACACATCGTGATTATTTGACTGTTCGAAGGTCTGCTGCTCCTCAACAACATTCTAGGGGGGGAGCTGTGTAGTGACATCTTTTTCACTTTCCAACACCATTCCCCTGACTCATGTTAAGACCCTATTCTGTTTTATTGCCCTCCGTTTCGAGAACACATATGATCTCGAACTTGGCACAATTTCCGGTGAGTCGTATCGTGCGCTTTGCCCTCTATACACTTTCCACTGCAGGTCACAATAAACTACAAACGCTCGTACCTGATTTCCTTCCCAATCCGTTCTCGCTCTGGGAAACGTTCCACAACCCCGATCTATTGAATTCGTGAACGCGTCGTCACTGCAACCCGACTGAGTGTGCTAAAGATTCATTCTCCTGATGTGTAACCGGAGGAACCACTGGGGCCAATCAAAAGTGCCCAAAGTTGACTGTTTGGGAGAAACAGGGTCAACCGCCTACTCTTGAAGTCCGTCATCGACGCACGATAAACTACCTGACCGAACTGTATACGAGCCCGCATGTTTAAGGCTTGCTGATTCCAAAAGATGATGCAATGCTGATAATCCTACGCGATTCCCAATTCCATATTGAATTCGTCTTAGCTTTTACGTTCATTGTAATGTGTTAGGCGTGTAAGAATTAACGAGCGTAATTGGGTTCCTTAATTGATTTGTTTAATTTTAAGATCTTCACCACAAGGCAGCGATTGAGAGCATGTGAAACCGTTTACCTCCAATGGGCATCAATTTGATTCTGACATGACGACATACCAGGTGGTGATTGTTGGAGGATTCAGCTTCGTGTAATCTCTACCGTTCACCCCTTTTACCTGTGTGCATTCTGAATCATGAAGGGTACACATATGACCGTATCAAGTGATGGTGTAGGTTCTTCTTGATGGACCTAATTATTCTGATGGCAGGTCAATCACTGATAGTTAAAAGAAACAAAATAAATAAATCATGAAAAAATCATGAAAATAAATTCATACCGATTTTCAGTTTTGCACGCACTATGCGCTTATTGTGTTTGTATTACATATTTATGACATTCATTCCACATTTGATCAGTGGACCACAAAATCGGCAGAAAATAGTCTGATCGGTTTGACTAGTAGACGCAGTGATGGTGGCGGCTCAGCTTAACGATAAAGGTGCACATTTCGCGAGTATCGATTTCCAAATTCGAATGTGTTTCGGAAAAAAATCTCAGTAGATTCAGTTCTGAGATTCATAAAATTTACACCTTCGTGCACCTCTGTTGGGTGCCATCATTGGGCTGCTCGTTTGGATGAGGAGGAGTAAAGGAAAAATTTAAAACAGTTAGATACGGAATATATATATATATATATATATATATATATACATATATATAATTAAGTCTCCTGGTAGTATTTTTCATACCTCCCTTTCAGGAATCAGTTTTGCTCCTTGAAATTTCCTTTACCTACCGATGCACCTTGCATACGACCACTAACCTGATAGTGCATTACCAGTTTGGCTATAATATAACCTTTTTTATTACACAACTAAGTGTGAACAATTGCAGGTGGGGTAAACTCAATAGTCACGAGGATCTGCTGTTCGGTGGTGGAAACCAGCAACCTAAGTCCCGTGGGACTTGGAGTGGTGAACTACATAAGGCCTTGATAGGTTATGCGTGCGGTATTGAATCGGATGACAGCAGAACTGCCTTGCACCAAAGTTGGGTGGCGTTGGCGGGGCTCGAACCTTGGACCATAGGGTTCAAAGCACTCCGGTGACAGCGACTTAACCACTGCGCCACCACCTCCCAAAGCGTAATTCGATGTGTAGCACATTCTATCTTTCGTATTATACAATTCTGAATACGCACAAATGTGTACGCATAAGGTTGATCCGCGGTTGGAGCATGTGTTACGCATGTCACCACATAGGTTGCCGCGGCGAGCGATGTTCACCGAGGCAAGTAGTGGGTTGAAAAAAGTTAGGGGTTGCCAAGCTAAGACCGGCACGAGGGTATGAAAACCCTGACCAGGGGACTAGATCACATAGGCCCCGTTAGGCTCCCTGACTAGAGACCTCAAGAAAATCATACCCGATGGTTAGAGACACTGAATGATATGACTGGAAGTCGTATACAGTGGCGTTCGTGCATCTTCTCAACTTCTTCGCAGCCATAGTTTACTGGAGTTCTCAATTTTCTCTTCGATTCTTCCTTCAACTTTCCTATTCTTCTACTATTATTCATCCAAATGGGCAGCCGAAACCGGCGCACCAAAGTGCATGGTTAATAATTGTTCAAACTGAAACTGATCCGCGGTGAAATAAGCACTCATTTGTCCAGTATGATTATGTTTTGACTAAAAGACCTAGCTTCTGACTCTGAATTGAATTTATGGACTCAAATTCATAATAAAAGTGTTTTAAACCGAACCTGTTTTATTTGATTTCTCCATAATTTTGTGAGCAAAACATCAATGAAAGGTTTTATTTGACTTCTAAGTGAAAAAGAAAGTCTAATTCACACGATTTTCACCTTTTCGACCTCCAGGTAAATTTGTTTGGATAGCTTTTTCAGAACCAGTTCATACTATGATTCGATGTTTCATAGTTGGGTTAGATGCTACCAATCTCAAAAAACGTGATTTAGGCAAAAGAACCACCAAACCGGTCGTGTGTTTTCAGGGGGATTTTTGGAGTTATTCATATACTACCTATTGTAAAATATTTAAAAAAAAAACACTTGATCCATCTACGCCCTAATTAGATCACGGCATCTGTTTCGTATTCGGACAGTCTTATGGAGCTAGAGATTATCTACACAACGAAGACGAGTATTCTCCAACTGGAAGAAATACTGCTCACCAAAGAACACGGACCCTTCCAACTGATTGGTATAGTTTGGTGATTTTTAATCTTTAAAAAGAGACTGACATAATTAATCTGTACTTTCCACCTTCTTCTGCTTTCTTCACACTATCACCATGAGCTTTTTGATACATTTCCGGAGGGACAGATCGAACACAAATACAAGATGTTAGAAACCAGTGAATGCATTTCGTGAGGACTTGAATGGGGGGAGCTTGGTAAGTATTGTTCATGAAATGCGTTAGAAAAAATTGTTCTGTGATAATTGGCAATCAAAAGTACACATCCACAAGACATGCATGCAAAACACAATCGGATATGATTCAGCGCACTTCGCATGCAGGGACAAATTACGTTCTGACGAATTGAAAGACGTGATCTTCCCTCACAAAGACTGATTCAAGTATGTGAAAAATCACCGGGTGAGGAGTTTGAGGCGGAGGAGGACGAATGACGATGATGCTGCGCATTGTTCTGATGCTGATAATAACTATTCTCATTCGATGATACATTCGTTGAATCAAATGTCGTGTCTTCCGTGCTTGTACTACTCGTACTACTGTCCAAATCACTGTCTGATAGCTCGGCCTCGTTTAGTAGCAGCTGTTCGCGTTCACGAAACTCCAGTTCTTGTGCCCGGGCAATTTGCAAATCCGATGGCAACAAACTGGCATAGATTTGCGCGATAAAACTATCCACCATTTTCAACGGAACAAATCGATGACTGGGTCGAATACAGAGCGGGCATTGCGGGCGTCGTCGTAGCCACATGTGAATACAATAGGCACAAAAACAATGACCACAGCCCAGCACACTGGCATTCATGAGCACTTCGTGACAAATGGCACAATTGAAGTCGCTCTCAAGCATACTGTGCAACAGAAACCAAGTGGTGGATTTTTGCGGTGACGTTGATACCACCTCGGATTCGGTCGAATCAACTCGGGCTCGTTTGTTTTTACCCGTTGTACTCATTTGTATCTCAATGGGTTAGAGTGTAGGTAGACACACTTCACTTTCAGTTGGATTATGTCCGATATGATGGCTCGGCCTCACATACGAAAGCACCCACACAGGTACACACAAATACCACTAGTTTTATGGAGATTCAAAAGCACAGCTGATCGCCGATCGATCCAACAGCCATATGGGCCACATTGAGTCACGTGTTAGATTGACCTGGTGACTACCACAATTGAGCTAGCCAGTTCAACTAAGAAATGTGGAATCATTAACCTAACCAGTGTTAACCGCATTATTTCTTCATCTCCCTTCTCACATAAGGTATACCAGGAACAATGTTCCTCATTTTTCGGTTGTACAGAATTTACTGGTTTGTATTGTTCGCTTTGAAGATGTTCAAGTACCCCACTAACTCAGACCATTAACCATCTAGTTATCCACCTGAGTGCGGTATTCAACAATCTCGCGCGACAGGGGGCTTGTTAGAGCATGATGTTGCCACGTCAGAGCATCGCAAAAATCTGCACATCATTATCTTGCAATTGACACGAGGTTGCGGACTAACATTTGGCTATACTTCTTTTTTAGATGACTGTTTCGTACACACAGACTAAGACTTCAGTGTTTTCACGCATAACCAATTCTTGTCTCTAAATACCCTGGGTTTTTCTCATTACATTTACCCGTTTGGGCACGCTCTGGTAAGCCGTTTGTTTCCTACTGCATCTTCATTCACAGAAAAAAATTCTTTCAAATAACCAACGGGAAAGGTTCTAAGGGTCTATATAAATTATCATTAATATGAAACTGCGAAACACCACTGTCCACAAATTTTCCTCGGGAATTTGTCTCAATAAGTAAGAACGCATGCCCTATTGTTCCGACAGATTGGAAATGATTATTACACAAATTAATCAAAACCATCATTTGTAAAGTGTGCATTGAGTCACCACATGAGATGATTTCATCATCTAGCTGGCATCAAACTGCCTCATGTTTCAAAGCTGGTACCGAAAAGAAAATTCAATTTTCGATCGATTTTTTCGTGTAGTTTGTTGTTATCGCTGAAATTCGCTTTACTTGTCAAACCACTGTATATTGTCTGCCAAAAAACCTCTCTAATATGAAATAAATTATGGTTTTAAGATATTACCGGAAACCGTAACAAGCTTTTTTCCCTTCCATTGACTGTATTGTTTTTACACCCATTCCCAACGTTGCTTCTGCGCTTTCTGTTGTGACCACCAATTGACTGATGCGTTTTTCATGCATGCCTGTGACCGGACACGCAAGCACTCACGCCATGCGAACTGACTCTACTACGATATCGATCGACTCCAGCAAATCAGGTGTTAGTATTGAACTGTCCTCGCTCATTGATGTGTCGACTATTTGAACGCCTGCATGACGGCATTCGGACGTCATGTGATAAATGAACCAGTTATCGGCCTACCTGCCTTTCTGTGTTGCCCGTTTCCGCTTGCACACCGGTCTGTGGACCGGCTAAATATTTGCCCTCTACACTAAACATACTGCATCACTGACCATCGAAATTGACTGCGTGCTCATTTACTTTCTTAAACGAGACACAACACTTACCAAAGATGATCATCCCCCTACGAGGGTCGGCGGTAACAACAACTACCGCTACTACTATTATGCAATTGCACTAATTATTCTGCTGTGGCCACTAACTCATTGTGGTGCAAAATACTAATATCGCAATGCGTTATCGGCTTGATTGGTGTGGTGTATCATTCTCGTTCATTCGCAAACTCAATTAATGAAATTCTTTTGCACATCACAATATTTGTTTCCCATGAAAAGATAAAATCGAATTTATTGTGTTTGAAAATGGATTCATCTCCAGAGATGGATAACATTGATCCACAAACCTTTATCACCTTGGTAAGTTATAGCTGAACCATTAAGTGAAATATTTCAAAGTTTCTTTGCCATCACTATGCTTAGAAAATTATGAAAACATTGAGTAATTTCACCTGTTAATTCAGGGGGCTGTCGTAGAGATCCGACATCCCACCGACAATACGAGGCTTTGCGAGTGCCGGACGACGCTGAAAGAACCGCGGTAGGGTGGCGAGGTGATCGGGATATTGGTGATTCTTGACTATGGACCAACGACAGCCACGGAAAGACTCCTTGAAGTTTCTGGACAACTTTGGTGGGTCCACCTTCCCAGATGACGCCATGCAAGCACCCACGCATTACACCTTCTGGACAACAAACCACAGGCCGATCGTGCCGACCAATCAGAAGTAATGCTGTCCAGACGGAAGCTGTATGACGTCAAGCATACAAGCAGGGGAATGGTGAATATCTATATAACCGATAACCATCAGGACGAGACTGCACCTTGCTCTGGTGTGGTGGTTTACGTGTCTCCATGACCCTGTGAGCTATACAGGATGCTTTTTCACAGCCGTGGATCCAATCATGCCAGAAAGGTCAACGGGTAGAGGCCGGATGAACCTCAGCCTCACAAAGCCAGCTACTTGGGCACCTCCTGGCTTTTTTCTTCTATCCACATGCCTCTGGAGAGGCCACTCAAGCAAATAAACACGGTGAGGGGCAAGTTACCGGTCAAAAACCGCTAGATGGACGTAGGAGCGCGGTACCTGGGGTTTCCTCTCGACGGTGGGAGAAGTCTTCGAACTTCATTGGTCAGCTACCGTCCGCCCAAGCTGGGCAGCCCCAGCCAATAAGGTGTTGTCCCATCCACGTTCCGCTTATCTCATTGGATGCATGAGGCCGACAGTCAACGCACCAGCGAACAACACAATTAATCGAAATTCGAGGGCCTTGCGTGACGGGTCTCCAGAAGCTCCCCTGTTGGATTTACGCCCCACTACCATGTGGGTCAGGCTTTTGATTTGAAGGCTCCGGATAGTGTTTCAAAAGAATGAAACCTTTCGTCGGTGTGGGCAACCGCAAAGTATGCGGTGCCCTTAAGTCTTAGGCACCCATTTGGAAAAAACCATTTCCGATCTATCTAGTTCTTCCTCTCAATCCCGACTGGATCCCGGTTAGCAGCCGACTTTGCGCTGTACGTCTGGACGGTTCAATACGGATCAACAGTTACAGAACGAAACGTCGATGTTTGTTCGTCGTATCCGTGTATGCACCAACTTATTGCATTTTGTCTGAAATGAAGAATGAATTCCACAAGGACCTCTCTCGACTGTTCCAAAGTGCTCGATCAACGGACATTGTCTTAGCCGCTAGAGACTTCAATGCTCAAGTGGCATCCCTGGGCGAATCAGAGAGTTTACTTGTCGGTTCTCAACCAATCACAGTCAACAGGACTGACAACGGAGAACGTCTACTCCAACTTTGCGCTGACCATGGACTGTTTCTGTCAAGCACGAACTTCTCGCACAAAAAGCTGCACCGCCTTACATGGAGACCGCCAACAGCTTCACAGCGCTGAACTCAAATCGACCACACCACCATCAACCACCGCTTGCATGGATCCATTAAGGACTGCCGCTCGTACTGGTCAATACCCGTGGACACGGAACATGCTCTGCTACGAGCAAGATTCTGCCTTCAGCTGATTAGGAACCGCAGAAAAGCCACCGAAAACGGATGCCCACAATGCATTATCAGCAACGGTTGAAAAATCGGCCTTCGAAGCGGAACTATCACATCGCCTCTCAGCACAACCATCAGCCGGAGGATTCAGTGAACACTGGACGACAATCAAGGAAGCGATCCAAATGTCAATCAACACCAAGGNAATCGCTCGATCAACGGACATTGTGGTAGTCGCCGGAGACTTCAATGCTCAAGTGGCATCCCTGGGCGAATCAGAGAGTTTACTTGGCGGTTCACATGCAATCCCAGCCAACCAGACTGACAACGGAGAACGTCTACTCCAACTTTGCGCTGACCACGGACTGTTTCTGTCAAGCACGAACTTCTCGCACAAAAAGCTGCACCGCCTTACATGGAGACCGCCAACAGCTTCACAGCGCTGAACTCAAATCGACCACACCACCATCAACCACCGCTTGCGTGGATCCATTGAGGACTGCCGCTCGTACTGGTCAATACCCATGGACACGAAACATGCTCTGCTACTAGCAAGATTCTGCCTTCACCTGATTACCAACCGCAGAAAAGCCACCGAAAACGGATGCCCACAATGCATTATCAGCAACGGTTGCAAATCGGCCTTCGAAGCGGAACTATCACATCGCCTCTCAGCACAACCATCAGCCGGAGGATTCAGTGAACACTGGACGACAATCAAGGAAGCAATCCACATTTCAATCAACACCAAGGCGGATTCTAGCGCATGATCAAGTAAAAAACGATGGATATCGTCGACCTCGGTTGCCTTGCTGGACGCTAGCGAAGCTATTCCTTCGGATTCAAAATACGACAAAGCGCGCAAATCTCTTAAACGCCAGCTCATCAAGAGTCTGAGGAATGACCACGAGAAGTGGTGAGTAGGGAAGTGTAGAGAGATGAAGAAGTCTGCGGCTATCGGTAATAGTTGCAATCTTTTTCGTTTCATTAGGAGTGTAGGTCCAAGGAAAGCAGGCGTAAGTGAGGTAATTAAGGAGTCTGACGGCATACTGATTCAAATTCCAGAACGTCATCTTGAACGTTGAGCCGAACATTTTAAGGCACAGTTCAGCTGGTCGCTTTCGACACAAGACCTCACCCCATCCGGTTCAACTGTGCAAATATTGCCAGTTGAAATCAGTCCTCCATCTGAAATAGAGGTTACCCGGGAAATAAGTTACCTCAAACGGTATAGGACTTCCGGCTCCGACGGACTTCCCCCATCCGTTTTTAGGGATGGAGGTCTAGCCTTGGTTTTCGAGTTAACAAAACTCCTGGACTCAGTGTGGGAGAGGGAACAGGTTCCAACTGAACGGGATTTACAAAAAAAGTGACAAATCCTACTGTGAAAAACCAGGGGGAATTAGTTCAATTAAAATTGCATCTAAACTTCTCGCTGGTATCATACTCCGTCGATTGTC